TATACCGAAGGCTGTGCTCTTTGATCTTCATCAGTAAATGTTTGAAGTCCTCTTCACTTTCAGCAAGCAAGGTTGTATCACCTGCCTATTGCAGGCTGTTAATGATTCTTCCTCCAATCCCGATGCCACGTTTTTCTTCATATAACCCAGCTTCTCGGATTATTTTCTCAGCATACAGGTTGAATAAGTATGATGAAAGAATACAACCTTGTCACACACCTTTCTTAATTGTGAACCATACAGTGTTCCCATGTTCTGTTTGAACAGCTGCCTCTTGGTCCAGGTACAGATTCCTCATGAGCACAATTAAGTGTTCCAGAATACTTATTGATTGAAAAACAATTAAAACAAGGCCAGGGGTAGGCTGTGGAACAATCAATCAATTACTCATATGCAAATCAAACTAAAGCTGAAGAAAATGAAAACAAATCCAGAAGAACCAAAATATGACCTTTTGCTTTTGTAACTAGTGCTGTTATGAACATTGGTGTAGATATATCTACTCATGTTATGGCTCATATTTCTTATGGATATATACTAAGTAGAGGGATTGCTGGATCATAAAGTATTTCTATTTCTAAATTTCTGAGGAAGTGTCATACCGGGAGTGGTTGGACCATTTTACAGTCCCACCAGCAATGTAGGAGTGTCCCAGTCTGTCCATATCATCACCAGAACTTATTCCCCTTTGCTTTTTTGAACTGCGCTGTTATTGCTGGTGTGAGATGATATCTCCTTGTTGTTTTGATTTGCATCTCTCTAATGGCACTGTAGGAGCTCTGGTAGCGTAGTGGTTGAAAAAGTTGGCCTTTGAAATCCCTGTGGGACACAATTCTACTCGGCTATCCATGGAGTCTGATAAGTTACAATTGATTTGACATAAAAGGTTAGGCTAGTAGACTTATAAAGCTTCAGAGTAAAAGAATCTTAGAAAAGCAGGACATTAGAATCATGGACTTTTAAAATCACACACATGGAATTTAGGGTCTAATCCATTCATTCAGTAAGTAGAAATGCTCTCAGTCTTAGGAAATGTGGCAGCAGAGAATAAGATCATGGAGCTTCCAGTTTGGTGGGGAAGGGAGTCAGAAAATTGAAAAACCAAGAAATGCATTATAAAAGAGCCTTTTAGTTAATGGCAAGTGGTTAAAAGAAAATTAAACAGAGCAAAATATGTTGAAAGGGTTAGGCCAGCATAAAGGGGGACTAAGGGGCAGGCGATTTTGGCTAAAAGGGAAGGTCTGTCTGTGAAGATGTGCTTTAAGATGGCGCATTAGTGAGAAGAGGCGGGCTGCCTTGTGAAGATCAAGGGAAGGAGTGTCCCTGCAGACTGAACAGCGAGTGCAAAGGCCGTGAGGTGGGAGGACAGACCCATGACCAAGAAAGACCCCTGTCTTTGAACTCATGGAGAAGTTACATTTTAATGTAAGCAGGAGAGAAAAACTCAAACACACATACATAAATATTTCAGTGTGATTTTGGTGTTATAAAGAAAATAAGGCTGGTTCCAACCTATCAGAGTGTAGCCAGTGGGTTTTAAATTTTTTTGTAGGGGTGAGGAGTGCATTTACTTTAGCTAAGATATAAGTGTACTCTGGATACAAATGTATTATGGGTGCAAGTGCACTATGGGTACAAGTGTATTATGGGTTAATTCATGAACAAGTGTATCATGAATTCCACGTAAGTACAGGGAAACTTTACACATCTGTTTTGGACAGTGTTGTATTCCCAGGGTCTAGAATAGTGCCTGGCACATTGCAGGTAATCAATGCTTATTGTCTTTTTTGAATGAGTAAAAGAAAGATCAGAGAAGACCTCTATGAAGAGGTGCCAATTGAACTGAGACTTGAGTGATGAGAAAAAGTCAGCCATCTCACGATGTTTTCTGGCAGAAAATCTTGTAGGCACAGTAGAAGCACTGAGGATGGGATGGGGTCCATTCTCATCTCTCCCAGGAAGAGCCCACAGTCCTGCCACCCCTGACTCTGCTCGCTTTCCCCTCAGCAGGTTCACCCTGGGCTTTGGCTGCAGACAGAACTCAGCTGATATCCAATACAGCCGCATCAAAGACTCCACGGGCTCCTGAGGTGTCCATCTGCCTGAAGACATGGGGACCATGGCTTTAGCAGATAGTCCCCAGCCTCCCACTTGTCTGGGCCCCCATGCCCTGAGGTTCCTGGGGTTCCAAGCGATGCTTCTAGAGCTACTTGTGTACCAGAGAAGTTCTTTTCTTGCTGGGCAAAGACATCAAAAATCTGCAAACATACGTATCTTCGTTTTGAAACTCAAGCCTCAGTTTTTGCATTCACTTGGATCACCTCTGCAGTACTTACAATAAGAACACCTTATGGAGTCTACTTTGCACTATGGGCTTTGCCAATGAACCTCTAGTGTATTAATCTGCGCAGGAAATCACTCCTGGTATCCATTCCAGCTATAGGCCAGAGTAGGACTGCTTTGTAGGGTTTCTGAAGCTGTGATTTTTCTGGAAGTGGGCTTCCTCATCTTTCTCCTGAAGAGCAGTTGATGGGTTCAAACCACTGACCTTTTGGCTAACAGGCCAAAGCTTAACCCACAGCATTACCAGGGCTTCTTTCCCTCCTGATTTCACCCCCAAATCCAACTGAGGATGCACGTTACCTTCTTTATCCATCTGGCTAAAACTTTCTGATGAGGGCAAGTCATTTTTTTTGGCTCTTATGTTTCAGTGTTATTCAGCCCTTCGATATCTCTTATCCAAGGAGCTCTGGTAATGTAGTGGTTACGAATCGGGCTGTGAACCGCAAGGTCAGCAGTTCGAAACTACCAGCTGCTCCGCGAGAGAAAGATGAGGCTTTCTGCTCCCGTAAAGATTTACAGCCTCGGAAACCCTGTAGAGGGTCGCTATGGGTCGGAACCAACTCCACAGCACATAACAACAACATATCTCTTATCCAGAACAGTTATCATTCACCAACACCTCACAGAGGTCCGAGTTTTAATTCTGGCTGTGTCAGTGCTGTATGACCAGGGACCTCAGTTTCCCCTTTTGAAGCTTGGGGGGCTTGAACCAGGTAGTTCTTCAGGTCTCTTCCAACTGCAAAGAGCTAGAACTCTAAAATGGTCACAATACAACAAATCCTCAACATGGCTCCTCCCTTTGAGTTATGAATTGTGTTGTTACAGGGGAGTGCTAACCACACCTCCACCCTTCAAGAGAGGGGTCTTGTCTTCCACTGATGAAGAATAGTAGGTGAGGCAGAGTTTCCATATGAGCAAAAGTTTATTATAGGAAAGAGACTTGTCCCCATCCCCCCAAAACAAAGCCTTTGCTGGGGTTTGAAAAGTTTGGGGTAGGGAAAAGATATCATGCTTATTCATAGGGATAGACAGGAATTTCTGGGAAATGGCCCATTTAGAAGGGACCATGTTGTTAGGTGCCATTGAGTTGGAACCAACTCATAGCGACCCCATGCACAGCAGAATGAAACAATGTCCAATCCTGGGCCAACCTCACTACTGCTGCCACACTTGAGTCCATCAGTGATGCCACCTGGCCAATCCATCTCGTTGAGGGTCTTCCTCTTTTTCTCTGACCCTCCATCTTACCCAGCATGATATCCTTCTCTAGTGACTGTTCCCTCCTGACAATATGTCCAAAGTATGAGAGATGAAGTTTGGCCATCTTAGCATCTGTAGAGGTAGACAAAACTAATTATGGGATGGTACACATAAGTGGTGCTTCCGGAACCTGGTTCAAACCCTTCCTAGGGGCTGGTGTCTCCTCTGCTCCAGTAGAAAGATTTAAAGTTATTTAAATATGGGTAAACCGATCTGACCTGTAAACTGCCTCACAGGAAGTAAAACAACAGGATTTTTTATGGGTGGTCTTCCTCAGTGACACGTCCCAGGATGTGGTTGCTCAGCTGTGCGCCCTGTGTTTGTCCTGTACATTCTAATAATTGCCCAAGCAAGGAGGGGCGCAGGCTGCAGCATTCTTCAAGACTCTGGTCACAGGATTTCAGTCCATAAGTGAGTCATGTTTAATCCTGATTTCTGGATCCCCTTTTCCACTGCCTCAGTCTCTTTACAGGAGTTAAGTTTTAAATGTGGGGGAAGTTAAATAGAATTCCAGAGTTGTGTGCTTTTAAATCCAAGGGATGTTACAGCAGATCTAGTGGGCACCAGGAGCTGTTTCTATGAGGGTACAGGGCAACTTGCAGAAAGAGATGGGTTTGGAGGCTGATAGACCTGGTTGTCAATGATACCTCCACTCTTGGCAGCTGTTGACCTTGGCTTAGTAATAATTACTCCAAGCCTCAGTTTTCTCATCTGCAAAATGGGCATAATTATGCAGTTGTTTTGTTTTTTTTTTGTCGTTGTTAAGTGCTGTCAAGTCAGTTCCAACTCAAAGCGACCCTTTATAGGGTTTCTGAAGAGCAGCTGGTGGGTTTGAACTGCTGACCTTGCAGTTCGCAGTCCAGTACTGATCCTACAGCACCACACCAGGAGTCCAATGATGCACACGGAGGCACATATTTAACCTGGCTTCCTCCAGGAGGGTCTTCAACTAGTCATATTCAGCTAGTCAGGACATGACTGGTGGAAACTAAGTGAGTAGCCAGGCCAGAGGGGTCTAAAGGAAGGTGCTGAGAAGGAGTTCCTGGATACTGAGAGGAGGGAGCTAAAGGAGGTCAGGGTGCTCTCTCCTCCATGCATGATCATGTGAATGCTACTTGTTCCCCCAAGACTCTGACCCTTGAGTTCTCCCCCTCTCAGTTTCTAGATATTTCTTTACATCCAGTGGAGTGCTGGAGCCAGCTTGGACTGCTTTGCAAGCACTGATTGTTAAATGTTTGAGTTTTTGCGAGCTGTCTGTAAAATGTGGTCACTATAAAAATTGTAATTATTTAATGTTATAATTAAATAAGATCTATTAAAAACAAAGTTGAAACATGCTCATAACTCATCACTCCTAATTATTTTGAATACAGTTTAATATTACCTGTGCTCTTGAGGTTATTCACGTATATTATGTCTCTCCAGGAGTCCTGGTGTGACGCTGTGGGTTAATGCGCCAGATTGCAAAGCTGTTTGAACTGCAAGGTCAGCGGTTCAAGCTCACCAGCTGCTCCTCAGAAACCCTAACTGACTCGATGGCACTTAACAACATATCTCTACAGATGAAGTATATTGTTGTTGTTGTTAAATGCCATCGAGTCAGTTCTGAATCATAGTGACCTCATATAGAGTTTTCCAAGGAGTGGCTGGTAGGTTTGAACCACCAACCTTGTAGTCCAGCACTTCTCCTAGTGTGCTACACCAGGACTCCAGGGGAAGTAGGGGAGATGTGAATCTCTTCTCAAATTTGTGTTCAGTAACATCAGTCACATTGGGAGATGAAACTGATCAGGGGTCTTTGTATCATGGAAATCCAAGAACACTACAAATCAATCGTCTTGTTGATTTTCTAGACTTAAGAAAATGATGGATAACTTGTCATAATGCAAATGAAATGTAACAGTCATTGTATAATTGTTATACTGTGAATGGCGCTGTCAGTTAATGCGCTGGACTACAAAGTCAGTTTGAACCGCAAAGTCAGCAGTTCAAGCTCACCATCAGCTCCTTGGAAACCCGATGCAGGGTTGCTATGGGTTGGAACCGACTCAGTGCTACTTAACAACAGCAATTCTTTAAGAATTCGAACATTCATCCAATTCAGCAATAAATTGCTGTTGTCACTGATGAAGTAGTTTGACATATGTATCCTGTCTCCCTGAGGAGGGCCTTTAGGTGGTCCCATTCAGTCAGTCATTGTTTGACTTTAGTTGCACTACTTAACATAAACAAAACATTGGCGCCAACTTCCGTGTCAGAACGCCTTCTTCAGTGATGTGAGCCACTGCTTTGCTGATTCATATAGCTATGGAATGTTTATTTAATCAGACTCTAATGTTGTTGAAAGGAGCTCTGGTAGCATAGTGGTTATGAATCGGACTGCGAACCTTAAGGTCAGCAATTCGAAACTACCAGCTGCTCTGAGGGAGAAAGATGAGGCTTTCTGCTCCCATAAAGATTTACAGCCTTGGAAACCCTGTACAGGGTCACTATGAGTCGGAACCAACTTGACGGCACTTAACAACAACAATTTTGTTGAATCATGACACTTGGCTTTGGATGCAAGCGTTTGGCAAGGACCAACAAAAATTCTGTGGGAATGAGTTGGCTACATGGAATTTATAATAAAGAGCTTTGCATTTATTATAAATTATGTACAACAAGCATATCTTTTGTCTTAGTCTGGGTGTATATGTGTGTGTTTACACACCTTTCTTTTCTTTTTCCTGGAGAACCAGTTATTAAACATTGACCAGCATACATACCACTGATTGTGTTTGTCTTTGTGGCCCTTTCAAAGCTGCTTCGATCTCCGTGAACCCCAACACCTTTCTCAACACTTCTTTCCCCACTTATCAGCCTGGAGAGATGCTTTTCTAGTTCTTATGGAGGACTCTGGAGAATCCCTCCCCCTTTCCTGATCAGTTTCCTCAAGTCAGAGGTCAGGCAGAAAATGCAAATGAGTGAAGCTAGCCAGGGCAAGCCGACAGGGAGTGGTGGGGTCTGTGGAAGAGGAGAATACAGACCTCTCTAAAACGGTGTTCAGCTGGTGACTCCCATATAAGAATATGGGGACAATGTGGTGGTCTAGCCATCTGATTTTTCAAGAGAAACCAGAATTTTAATTTTGGTATACATTTTCCTAATTTTTAAACATAGGCCATTGATTTTTATTTTTATTTTTAATTAAAAAAATACCCTGCAAGCTAAACAAAACACACCAGTGGGTAGATCATGGCTTTCAGTTTGTGCTTCGATTCTTCATGTGTTTCCCTCAGGCACCCCTTCTTCTTGTTTTTTTGAGGCTCCTGGCTTAGTCTCCTTAAAGAGAGTTCTGAACCCGAGCATTACTGTGTTGAAAAGGGGAGTTTAGCAAACGTGAGAGTGGCGTTCAAGTCACAAGAGCACCTTCCTAAGATTTCGTCTTTTTCTGAACTACAAGAACCATAATGTGATTCCACATACACTGGTAAGCCCAAAAGTGTT